AGGGGGGGGGGGGGGGGGGGGGGGGGGGGGGGGGGGACGGGTGGAGGAAGAAGTAGGGGATGAAAGGGCAAAGCATAATTTTATCAGTGAATGGACAAGCGAGGGAGAGAATATGGAAATTTTGTGAAAAATTAGAGATAAGAAGTCCCAATATTATAATAATTTATTCATCCAGTCATAGCCTGCTTTCAAGAATGCGTGAATTATTAATGACTCAATTTTCATACACACTTCGTAAAGACTTTCAGGATCGACGAGATGGTTTGGGATCTTTTCAAAAAAATTTGTTTAAAAATTTTAGTAAAGGATAAACGGGAACAAAGTGAGGTTTTATCAGTTTCTTGCTGGGTTTTATTAGCAGTTTTCACCTCAAACACACAACGAGTTTTTTGTCTAAATTATCAGAAATTGACTTGCTGAGTGAGCAGTTTTCCCCTAAAAAACTGTCCTCAATCTGTCAATGAGGATATCATCCTCCTAAACCAAGGAAGATTGATTCCTAAGATCCAATACTCCCGTTGCGCAAACCACCGACCTCGGATATGACAGATAACTATAGTGCCTCACTGACTGATATCGTAATTGTACGGCCCATTACCTTATCTCGACGCAAAACAAATGCCCAGTGAAGCATTAAATGATGATTTGTTTGCTGATTCTGTCTATCTCCTGATCTTGCAAAGTAGAATAATACGGGGAGATATCCCAAAAATCTACCAGCTAATCCGGAGAATCTCACATGCTGGTTCACTGAATTTGTGTCTAATTACTCGACTTAATACGGATGGGTAAAACTAAACTTTCTGCTTTGTTATGACAATCCTGGAAAGCAGTGAAAGAAATTTTTTCATTTCTCATTCATAATTTAAAATCTGTATTTCTTTTCGCCGATTTTTGCATACACGAAATTTGTGCAAACGTAAGTTTCGTCTTGCAGGGCAAATGTCACTGTCAAGAAAGATTCGAAGGTGAAGCTTGTGAGATTGAACCGTGCTTACATGGTGGACGAAAGTCGAGAACAGGAAAGTGTCAGTGCCCATACGGTCTTACAGGTAACTGCGTATATTTTCGGAATAGTAAGCGTTCAAAATTTTTATAATGTTTAGAACTGCCAAGATCATTCGGATCATCAGCGTACGAATCACAGCACTATCTCTTCTGAGGCCGCCCCAATTAGTCGTCTACTTTTTCATCAACGAGTGACGTCCACAGGCTGTCAGTAAGAAGAATCACAGACTCTAACTGTCGGATTTTACTTTCTCACAATTGGTCGCGATGATTCCGGAACGCCGCTCATCTGATAGAGAGTCTGGTTGTTTATATTAAAGCGGAGAGATACGCCAAGCATTTTTTATTTCATCGCTCTCTCTGTAACAGTCAGTGCTCGCTCTTCAACTTTCAGACTTTGTTTCCCATTCGTACGCCACTGCTTTTAGCGCAGTGGCACTGAAGAGATGGGCACAGTTCTTCCGGTTCAACACTTTGAAGACATTAGCAGTGTCGCTCCTATCAAAAAAAAGTCTTTTGGCGAGGAAAATAGCTCTTCTGCTTGGGTTACCGCATTTCTACCCATTGCAATGTCTTTTTGAATTCGTTTATTTAACTATCAAGTCCTATTTAGAACTATACTTATTTCAACCTTAAGCTTTTCAGGTGAACGATGTGAAACAGTAACACAGTGTATCGAAGGGAAGGGCAGACTTGTGAATGGTCGTTGTAAATGCGAAGATCGCTGGACTGGTGTTTTCTGTCAAACGCGTCTATGCCATAACGGTGTTTCTGTTGGAGCTGGAGGGCAGGTACTCCTTCGTCCTTCAATATTACCCTGATTAGCTGTTTTTTCATCGTTTCATTTTTCTCACCGTTGATGCAGCTGGTAACTTCTCCATTCTTCTCTAATCCACATAATCTCGTATAACCATTCAAGTGAATTCTTCCAGCACGTCGGCAGTCTTTTATGTATCCTTTTAACATTTGGCAAATCACTTCAACCCGCTATTTCTCATTTTTGCCACACGATCAGCCTAGCTCTTCCTCCTGATGTACACTGCTTAGGCAATATCGCCCAACCACAGTTTTTTTTATAGAAAAAAATGCTACAATCCTCAGTACACAGAAAAATTACAAGATTTTTTTTTTCAAATTCAAACTCGAATCCTTTGCAGATGGGCAGTTTCTGCTTATGCGATATAGGCTTCACAGGACCGTTCTGTGAGACACCGATTGAATGCATTCATGGAACAATCACGGCTGAAAATTTTTGTTCTTGTGAGCCGAACTGGGCTGGCGAAGACTGTAGTCAATGCGCCTACGGTATGGTTTTTCAAATTTTAGTTTTGGGTAATTTCGATAAATAACTTTGAAAACGGAAGTATCAATTTGTGAGGTTTTTGCTAATTTTGCAAAAAACTCACAAATTTACCACTCTTCGTTGCGCACAGTGAAACACATGTTTTCTAAAAATGTGAAATTACCGTATCCCTGAGGAATGGTGCCAGATACCATAGGCCCAGATACAGAGGAATGTACGGAAGCTTATGACTTTTAAATAAAACTGAGGTTTATCAATGTGTGATATGTGTGCGTGCATGCATGGCGTACAAATGTGTACATATATGACGTACGTACAAGAGCGTGATGGGTAAGCGTGTCTGCATACATGATGCGTGTATGTGTGTGTGTGTGTGGTACACGTACTTGTAATGTACTTTTGTACACATCTGTTGTGTTTTGCATGTGCGGTATACTTTTATATGATTTAGGGTGTGTACATGAGTGTGGCGTATGTTCATGCGTGATGTACGTGTGCGTAGGTGTTTTGTGTGTGTTTGTATGTGTGTGTGTGTGCGTGCGTGTTGTATGCCTATGTCACGTTTTTTGATAATTACCCGTTGGTTTTTTTTCAGGGCATCAGTACATCGATAACGATTGCCAACCGATTGCAACTGAAAATTCACTGGTAGCAGTTCGAAATCCGAAAGCAGTAAACATGTGGTCACTAACACTGGTTGCTTCAGCAGCAGTACTCTTTGTGGTACTGGTCGCCAGCACGGCCACTATATACATGAAGAAATGTCGTAGTAAGCCAAGTAGGGTTAGTTCAGATGCTGGAACTGATGTCTAACATCGTCTCCGAGCAAAACCTGCACCAAACCAGTCGTTTTTTCCAGAAAAAAACGTGGATTTTGAAAATCCTAAGAGCGATTTTTGTTTTACGGGAAGATAGTTCCGAGCTTCCTGTAGGACCTTCAGCAGATGCAAAAGAACGTCCGTTTTTCTCACTGCGTAGTTTTTCTAGCGAAAACCAAAAAAGTCTTACCTGATCAGAAAATATTAGTTCCCATCGGTTTTGTTATTGAGTAACTGGTTTTTTTGTTTGTTAAACCACCACCTACTCTTTGAAGTGGTCCATTTTCGCCAGAAAGAGAAATTTGGTACTTAAATTCTAATCCAAGTTTAAACCTACCAACTCCTGCATGTACGAAAGACGACTTACAAGT